CCAGGTTTTCTTGCATACAATTTTATATATAAACTGATGAAAAGAAATGTGTTAAAATAAATTATCTCATTCTTTCTAATATCTGTAACGTTATTTTATAGTATTTGTATTAGATAATATAGCAAATTAACATGAGTGTCTATGTTTAAGGTCATAATAAAAGTAATGTTATAAAATCAATCTTGATATTCTAAATTTACTACAATATGAGTTATTGTGTACGTATATTTTTATCCAAAACTTTTATTTTAACTAAATAATTATTGATTTAGAGTGAGTACTTTTAATCTGATGAACTAATCTTATCCAGACTATTTATAAATATTTATAAATTAAAAAGCTAGTTTTAAAATTGATATTTTAATTAATATACACATGTCCTCTATAGGAAATTAAATTATGTTGCAGCCTAGTTGCAACAAACTTGTTATCTATTGATAAATCTGTTGTTAACACAGATATAGATGATAAACTAGATTGCTAAACTAGTGATAAGACATAAAGTTATTTTGAGTTGGTCAAATGGATTAAAAATAGCACCCACAGAAACACAGATATAGATATGGTTAAGTAAATTTAGCATTGAATATTCTTTATACCTTTGTTAAAACACGACTTATATTAATGGCTTCAAACGTTTATATCTTTAATATAGGGAACTTATCGATATAATCTAGTTTATTATCTATTTCTGTGGGTGGTAAATATTTATACAATGATAAACTAATGGTTGGAAAATTTTTAACATTGTTAAATTTATAAATGTTGCTCAATCATTGTATATTTAAGTTATTACCAGAATACTGATTGTCAAACCAAAATTTAAATTCATAATCATCAACACTTTTCCAAAGATTATGGGGTGACCCTAATCACTCTTGGTTTTGGAAGTCTCATAAATATTTCTAAAATTATTTCTTCATCAGACATATCAGACGAACCTGATAAAGACCATTCCAATGAACTTCATTAATAAATTAAATTATTCAGAAAAAAAAAAAAAACAAGAAAAGAATTTAATTTAATAAAAATATATAATATCAATTAATATAATCAAGGTACCTATATAAATACACCTTAAATATAATAATAATACACATATATATAAAACAAAGTTTTTATATATCTGTGTAATAATATTAATATTGTCAAATTTTTCATTATCATTATAATAACGAAAAACATAAATAAAGAAATTTTAATCAATGATTTAAATAAATATACCACAGAATATATTATGTGTCTATATTATACATATAACGTAGATATCTGTGATAAATTAATTTTACACAACGTTAAATGGGACTGTAATTTAATTCTATATAAAATGAATTTTTATCAACATATTAAATATTTGTTGTAACTCGGTATTAATATTACTTAAAAAGATACTGATTTTTCGATTGGTAGCACTTTAATTTTTTTAAAAAAAATATGTTTCGATTCCCAACAGTTTTTCTTTGAAAATTTAAGTACTAGTAATAAAATAGTATGTCAATACATTGGTTTTATTTTTGTGGATTTCTGGCTGATTCACTTCAAATCGTTTTTCAAAAATGATTTATTGTTACTTATCGTTATCCTATAAGTACTTCTTAAACTTTCCACCAAAGCACCTACTACAGTGACAGTAATTGCGAATTACGTTCACTTTTTATTATTATAATGTATAATAACTACTCAAACGAGAAATTAATATAATTCATTATTCAAAATAAATATTCTATACTATCATTGGCACATATAAGGGAGTGCCAGGAGGACCCCTAAATCTAAAATTAGCACCCCCAGATTTTAAGCTAAATAAAATATATATGATACTCAAATAGTACTCAAATATGAGATAAGTAATTTTATTATACTTACTATTGTGTATTGATTTATATTATATATATATATGTATAATATTAATAATTAATATTACATAACATTATTTATATTATTTTATTATGTAAATTTATGTTAATTGTTTTCATATTTTTAAGGGGTACCTATCCCTTGTTGGTTATTTATTTGGCAATGAAAGATTCATTATTGAAATTCGGATCTAATTATTTCAATTTTGTTTATTTAATATGCAAGTAATATAATTTTATTTTAAAATGTTAAATAGGTTGGGAGGTGTGTGGGAAAATCCCCCCCATGATATCCTATTGTAAATAAGTTTAGCACTCTTGAGTTTTAGACCGAATGTGCGCCAATGTATACTATATATACAAATAAAATTTAAAATTAATATTTCATATAGATGTTATAGGTTTTGCTTAACTGGCGTTGTAGCAACTGCAGGTTACGATGACTAAAGATTGCTTGTCGATGCAAAAACTGTAATATTATTTTAATGTTTCATCCGGATAGAGAGCCTATATTCTCAACGGCTGTGTGAACAAATCACGCGGATACCGTATTCTTGAGCATTGTCTGTGCACAATTACGTTCTATTCTATCTATTCTAATGTCGGAATTCAGTAACGTAGCAAAGCATTTTTAAAAGGAAGGGTTGTGGAAAATATAATAATCATGATTCATGAACAAACCATAGGATTTTTTGCTATATCGAATCCGACAAATGAAGATGCGATTTTAAAATCAGGATCTAAAAAAGTAAATTTGTGTTCAATAAATCAAGTCTGTAATTCTTGTAATTTGACTAATATATAGTTTAGATGACAATAAAAAATAAATATTCATAGTGATTGTATTTTTAAGCTATTGAAGGGAGGCATAATTCTTAACATCTATCTCTGTGAACGCCACTGCATCAGATACATAGAAAAGAAACAGATGGATTTCGTATGTGAATATAATATTTGAGTCTGAGCAGTAAAATCCTAGTAGAATGAATAGAATTTTATTACTTTATAGAATAGACTCCCGGGCACTTTGTTCGGGCGTTTCCGAGTTTGGGTGTGTTTTAGAATTTTTGCAGTTGCGCACAACGTAACAAAAAGGAAACCTGGCCTCACGCGGTCGGGCGATTCCGGGGCTCGGCAACGTATCTAACAGGTAACCATAGAAACCCGAACGAGCTAATGTTCAATACTGCCGGAAATGTGAGGTGCCTACTAAGTCAGTGACCCGCATTTTAGACCAAAATTATACTTATATGTCGGACGCTCCACCCCTTTCGTCAGTAACGCGCATGTTCGTTGGAAAATCAATACTCTGCAGTCCAGGGTCCGGGAAGTTTGCGACGAAACGCGCAGTTTTCAGTTTTCCCTTGTCCGTGCGAGTCGCATGACGCGTCGTCTATCATGTTTGCGCGTTCATTCGGACCGACCACGCCCGGTTTTTCCTGTTTTTACGCAATTATATATATTATAATATAATATATTGACTTAATTTTTATTATAAGTTAATTTATATCTTACGATGGCCCGCAGACCTAATTCTTCACTGGTATTTCGAATTTTGGAAGTCGTCGTTCATAACGAATGCATCGGTCGTACCGGTAGCACCCTTGGCTGAAGGCATCCATTACCGTCTAGCCTGAGTTTTTGTGGTAATATAATTTATCTTTTTTATTATGAGCTATAGTCAAAATTATACTTAAAGGGAAATGAGTGTTAGTAAGGGCACACAGTGATGAGGGGAAGGAGAAATAAGAGTAAGTTTATGTTATTTAATGTTATAGTTCTTATATATAGTGCAATAATCATTTTGCGCCGAACTTCAAGTCCTGGGTTTTAAAAACTTAATAATTAATTAAAAAATAAACCTATGCCTTTGAAATTCATTACAACTATAGACTATGTTATGGTAGGCTAGGTGCTATACTTTAACATGGCCACCCGAATTGTCCACCTCTTCATCGACCATATAAACCACGCCCACTTTCTTATGAGCTGTTATATATTATCAGTTCTTATCTCTTATCAACGATATAATTACCAAGTTATTATCAGTGACCTTAATACCACGTTCTTATCTAACCTATATCGCCTATTACCTAACCTATGGCAGGTACTATACTTCAACATGGCTGCCAGAATTGTCCACCCCTTCATCGACATATATTTCCCCCCCCATTTTTTCAAAATATTTTTTTCCTACATGCACCACGTTCTTGACCTATTTAGACCCCGCCCCTTTATCCAAATATTTTTCGAGACATTATCAGCTACTTACTCGACTTACTTACATCGTTATCATATGCATAGTGTTATTACATACCTACATCGTTATAATATACCTATTGTTATCATAAATCTGTGTTTATTAAATTTTATTTTTGTTCTGCAAACAAAAATATAATACTTTGGGCATGAATCGAACTCGGTATACAACAGCTGTAAGCCATATACCTTTCCCACTCCGACTCTTGACACCGTATATAATATGCATTTACCTAGTGCATATATTTTAATAAGTTATTATTATTTTTCCAAATAATATCTTTTTCCTAACATTATAATTCTATGATCACGTTAATGTACATTATTACATAACTTATTAGGTCATTAGCAATCGTATTTGAAGCTCTCAATTAAAATAATATAAACCAGACATCACAAAGGAATTATAACTATATATATATATATTAGTATAAGTCGTATACTAACTCAAAAAAGTTTTCGGATAATGTTATTTATCAGTCATTAACAATACAATTATATAACAATGGATTTATCGATAAGAAATTCTAACCACGAGTCATGTCTGAGATGGTCGGGATATGCTTCTTACCCCCCATCATAAATGTATACATTTTGACTCATGAGGGTGCTAGTGGTTGAAAATCAGAATTATTATCCGTCTCACAGTTATAGCAGCAAGTCGTGCTTATTCCTCCGACTATAAATTGTTTCCAAGTGTTTTTAAAAAAAAATTATAAGTATTTTAAATATGGCTGCTTCAAATGAAACAAATGTAACCACAAGCAAGAATCAATTATAAAAAAACGTTGCCAGTGGACCTTATCGGTTGCAATAAATATACTCTAAGCTTCATAAAACTCAAGTTCGTGAATATAGGCATCGACCCGACAAACATGTTCGCCGTTAAAGTACAGATAATAACTCCGTCGCGATACGTTTATATAACGCCAGATAATGCGCCGGCTCTATGATGGTTTCTAATTTATTTGCTGCCCATTTTAATTTCATGTACACATCCCCCAGTAATGTTACATTCGATATGCCATTTTTGCAACATGATCTGCCAAGCAACTGCAGCGTCAGCATTTCAGATATTGAAACTGGTCTTAATAAGTTAAAGGATGTAAAATAAATTGGTCTTAACGGGCTCTCTGGTATTGATTTATACAACATTAAATCTGCTATTAGCTTTCCTTTATGGCTACTCTTCTGACGCTTATTTAAAGAGCGAGTTTTTCCTTCTATATGGAAAATGAGTTGTGTTACTACTATACACAAATCAGATGATAAATCCGACGTGAAGAATTATAGACCTATCTCTATACTTTTTCATTTAGCAAAAGTATCCAGCCATCTGTTAACTCCATACAGACAGATGAACAGTAAGGCTTTAAACCAGGCTGCTCCGCTACGATGAGCTCAATTGTGTTCAATAATTATATCCTTGAGGTCTTTGAAAACTACTCCCAGGTAGACACAATATTTACTGATTTATTAAAGGCCTTTGACTGTGTAGACCATTCAGCCCTTATACAAGTTCTTTATAAGTCAGGCTTTGGAGATCCCCTCTTATCTTGGATCAAGTCTATCATATCTAGCAGATAAAACACAATGGGTCAAGACAAACGGTCAGTAAACAGTGGCTACTACGGTACCTTCTGGTGTTCTCCAAGGTGGCCATTTATCACCGCTATTATTTGCCCTGTTCTTAAACGGCTTGAAACAAATATTACCCAACTGCCACTTCCTTGTTTTCGCCGACGACCTTAAGCTGTTCCAGAAAATTACCTTAATAAAAGATTGTCATTTACTGCAATCTAGTTTAGACGATGTAGTTTCCTACTTGAAATCACTGGGTCTAAGCCACAGTATTGAAATGTGTCAAACTATGTCATTCGCTAGATGTCGATCTGTTATTTCTTTCTAATACAAGATTTATGATTCTACTCTTGTTTCGGTGCAGAGTGTAAAAGACCTGAGTTTTATTTACACTCTTACACTTGACTGTCATCCACACATTGAATTATCTTCTTGCTTGGCTCTCAAAGTACTAGGTTTAGTCAAAATCTCTTTATTGTTCCTTAGTTCGATCTATTATTGAATATGGATCCGTGTTATGGAATCCTCACACAGCATCAAGCTTCATACAATTAGAGCGCTTCTAGATACGCTTTTTATCATTAGCTTCCTATGTTCTGAAGACTAATCATGCCTCGCATGACTATTTTCCTGTTCTCAGCGTACTCAAACTCACATCACTGGCTATTAGAAGTGCAGCTGCAAATTTATTATTTCTACATAAACATTTAGATGGTTCAATAGTTGCTCCTACTCTCCTTTTCAGAGAGAAAATCATTAACTTCACAGTGCCACAGTGTTCCTTCCGTTTCCATACCCCTTAAAAATTAGCATAAAAATAGCCTGAATGTTTTGAAAATTATACCACGTCTACAAAGGCAAATGTATGGGCCGGGGGCTATTTAAAAACTTCGCGTAACCCGGACACTATTTACCTTGTGCTCATTATCTACCGACCACAAAGCTCAATTGAAAGCAGAGATGTGTGACGTCATAAGATCCTACTCACGGCGGGACGTACCTACGTACGTATACACGTGTCTGTTACTAATCGGATGTATTCTCACAGTTTGTGCTATGATACCATATTACCTATATTATGTATTTAAGACGAATAATATCTAGTTCATATGGGTAACAAAACAAGGTAATTTATTACGTATCAATTGTTATTAAAAGTAAAATCACAGAAATAAATAATAGGAGCCATCCTAAACACTTAAAAATATATTTTTTAAATATTTGAAAACATTGTTTAACTGTACTTATTTTTGTACATAATGTAATAATTTACACTACTTAAACCTAGAATACTTTTTTGATTTTAATTCTTCAATATCTGACTTTGGTGTCTGTACAATATCTTTTTTTGGTTTTACATTTTTTTCTGGTGGTTTCAATGGCATTCTAATCGCCATAAAGCACTTTGTTTATAATATCTATTCTCCAATTTTCTTCCGTGTTTTCATAAGTGTTTTTTATTGTATACCTTCCGTTTTGGAATAAACCATTTTATCTTCAATTATTTTTTTGTCTGTATTATTGTTATGATCTAAAATAGCAATAATTGATCGAATATACATTCCTTCGCACTTCAAATGAATACTTTTTGGCATATTATACTTTAAACGTATGTTTTGATATGACTCTAAGCGACCCGTGTGAATAAAATGTTTAGCGTGAAATACATTTTTCAATAAATCTTTGTTAGTGACAATTTTGTTCAACGCAAAATACGAATCATTATTTTTTGGAATCCAAAGTTTTTTTTTTATTTCTTTATCGGTGAGTGGATCATGCTCACATTTTTTTTTCTGTCCATTATCATTTCATTGATGAATATTTGAAATGTGATACAGAACTGATGTAAATTTTTCAACTAATTCAGTTCCATTATCATTACACATTTGAGAAGACCGCCATAAGTGATTTATTATACTTGTTTTCCACATAAAAGCACTATGGTGATTTTTTTCTAGAGTTCTTAATCGTTTTGACAAACTTTTTGATAAATGCCAAACATCGAACTTATGTTCGATGTCCGGATATAAGTGTTCGAATATGACAACGAATTCCCTTGTGTCGATCTGTCAAAAATACATTAATGTTACATTCGTCGGTTTTTCAAGTTCATGAAGTAGCGATTCTTAGTCTTTTTTTAAGTCACCCTGAACCATTTCTTTTTGAGTAATTTTAAAATCTATTATTTTTGAGCTTCGACCATCCATGACTGAGTACGTGCAGTACTTGGCGCAAAAACCGAGGGAGTCAAATTGACTATCACCAGCTAACCAAATACTTCTATCCATTTTTAGTTTGTTTATATTATTTTGTCTATGTTGATCCTAAATTAGTTTAACTACAGGTACTGTATAGATGTTAATGATTTTATCATAAACTGTTCTTGAAAAAAAGGTAAATTTTAAAGACGAACAAAAGGTTTTTATATGATTAAATAATACGTCGGATAACGTTAAAGCAGCTTCTATTAAAATATTTCCTACAACTCGTTTACCAGATAATGACTGAGATATCCATTTGAAAATATGCCCATTTTCACATATAGTTTGTACGGCCAATATTGCTCCCTTGGTATAACTATTAATATTTTCCACTTTAGCATTACAGTAATGGCAACGTATAAATAAATTGACTAACACTCCCAAAAAACAATGGAACACGAATAATTTTCTATTTCTTTAGATTTACATTTATTCGTGGAATTTTTTCAGTTTGATGTACTTCGATATCCTTATCTTAAACTTCAAAACTTTTATCCTCCGAAGTTGAAATCTCATTAAATAAAAAATTTAATGATAAATAATGATGATGTTTTAATACTTCATTACAAATGATTCACTTGTAATCACCACTAAATTATCGTCTTCTACATCATCAACATCACTCGATTTATATTTATTATTTTCAAAAGACCAAAATGAGGGCTTTAATTTTTTTGGTGTACTTGTCATTAAAGGAGATATATATATTTTTTCTTTTAACCTTTATATTTTTTTTTCGTTCGGATAAATTTGAAGTAGAGGGAATATTTTGAGGAACCGTAGGAACAACATTTCCATTAAGTTTTACTTTGACTTTTATATTGGGCATTAATTGTTGTCGTAATAAATGTGACTGATTATAATCTTTAAGCTTAAAATGTTTTGAACAAATTTTCGCGCCTTTACCAGGGTTAAAGTTTTTTCGTTTACAATAATTGATCCTACTTCGAAACCTAGTTGGTGATTTCGACGTGGAAACACATGAAAATGAACTCTAGATAAAAATTGCTTTTCACTTCTTTCATTACAATTAAAAACAAAGCACAATGTTATTTTTACAATTTAAAATTGAATGGAAATTCAAAACTTATTAGCAAAAAAAATATGTTTAACTGTACGCACACATTTGTTATAGCAAAAAACATAAAACGAACCTAGTGTTACGGACCGTTCGGACACAGCCTTTTAATGGGAAAATGCACATGTGTGTTAGGTTTACAAATATTTTTTTATTAAAATTTAAACAAAACACGGTTGACAAGTTGTAACTATAAGTGAAAACCCTGCGACACCAGACCCGGGTCAAGACTTAGTTGTAATTATTAGGTATAAGTACACTAAAGAAATGACTGAACGAGTTGATATCAAGGTGATGGTGCTCCTTCTTCTTGTGCTTCGGTGGTGGTGACTCTCTTGACTGCTGACTGAGTTCAGGTTCTCTTCGGTGATGATTCCGGTCTTATATATTGTTGTCGCCTCGATCGGGGCCTAGATGGTGGTGGACGCTTCCGCCGTTGTCTACTGGTGGCACGTCGTCCGTACTTGGATACGTTTTCCCTTGGGCCCATGAACATGTATCATCCGTTGTTGCATGGGAACGTCGTCGGTTTACCACTCCCGTATTAATGGTCCTAACGACGTGCGTACACTTAATGCGACGACCGATTTCATATCTTGTCGCGTGGAATTCTTAATTTATAATTAATAAACTTTACATGTGAAGAACAAAGTTCGTAACACCAGCAATTAAAATAAAAAAATATTAAAATACTAGATACTAGGTATTACTCACTAAATATTACGACTATCGCGTACTAAAATAACTATAATCTTAATCCAAGTCATAAATTAATACTCTATGCTAGATATAAATACAATTACTTTTACTGATAATAAAACAATAATAGCCGTTTAATAAATAACCAACCATGCATCTGTTTTTTCTGCTATTAACATACACGGCCGCTCCACCAGCTGTTTGGATTTTTAAATACCTTACCACCTTTTTCTATAAAAGCACTTCTGTTTTATTATGAACCTCTTGTCCTTGTAGTTTTCTTGCTTCTTTCACCATGAGTCTTAATGATAGATTTAATAAAGTTTTGGCTTTATATAACATCGAGTCCCATGCACTATAGAAATGTTTGTATCTATCTAGCAGGGTCATTAGAATTTTGGTTATCAACATCGAGTCTGATATTGGTTCACCTTGCTGTTTTAATTTCCGACTCCAATTTTGATATATGTTGAGCAATATTATCATTTGGATTCATGGAATAACGATAAAACTTTTGTTGAATTAACGTAACAGATGTTTCAGACTTTTGTTCATATACACTCAATAGTTTTTCCCACAAGTTTTTGGCGGTGTCACAATTCATTATATAATATAATAACTGTTAATTTACTGATGTAACTATGAAGCGCTGAGCCCTTGCATCTGCAGTTATCCAATTTTTCATTTTTAGATCTATATGTAATTATGCATCTAAGTCTGACTCACCTGTCCGTTTAACTGTAGACTTCGGTCTTAGATAGTTTTCATCTATTACGGCAAACAGAAAATCATATGAAATTAGTATTATCATCATACCATTTGGCCTAATTTTCGTTGCCTATTAGCTTATTTATTTTTACAGATTCGTTTTCCATATTATAGTATAAAGTAATGAAGTGTAATAAATAATTGTATAAACTGTGAGGTGTTTTAACTAATGATAGGTACAACCTTTTAAAGCCAATATAAATTTGACATAGATAGATCGTCATCTATCGATAGAAAGGCAAATTCCCCCGTACTTTTCCCAACCAATAATATTTCGTAACCATAATAACCACTATCTCGTGTCTGGTCTTGTGTATCTTAGTCACTGAACAATATACTAATTTATATAGTATTATAGTATATAATTTAGTGATCTTAGTCCGTGCTTCTAATCCTGTAACATTATCATAAAGCCGACTGTTAACATAGATAATTATATTATTACACATTCAATTTGAAATATAGTCTCATTTTATGACGTGACTTCCAAAAAGTGATTCTGTAAAATTAGTTTTAAGTCTGTTGAAATATGCATAAAATACATAGAACTATTAAGAAATGAAGTACGCTTTTCGTACTATTGACGTATCGATAATTATTGCCAATATAGTCAGAGAAAAATATAATACTCTATGATAAGTCTTTATTTTATCAAATTAATTATCACTTGTCACAGATTTATGAAATAATCATAGACATAAATTATTTGGAAAATTGGAAAGTTGGGCGATAGAAACAAAAACAAAAATTTGTTAATATTTTAATTATTAGTTATGAAAATTTACTATGGAAACATAATTTATTTTAACAATTATTATATCAATAATCATATAATATCTAATATATTTTGGCGGATTATATGCCACATTATTTCTTCCCCGGGGACGACCGCACTGCTTGAACGTTGGCCACGTTTCCAGACATCGGCCGGCCGGTGGTTTAAAGTTGAAAAAAGGTGGCTAAGAATGATTTTTGAACATTTAAAAAATTTGCATAAACTATTGTATAAACATACTTTTATGCTTATTTAGGCATTCAAAAATTCCTAACTTAATCAAAAAAATAACTTTTTAGTTTTCAAATTTATGTTTGAAAAAAAAAAATGTTTGCCTTTAAAATGTCTGTAATTTCGGTAATAATTTTTGTACTCTATAAAATATTATAGAAATACAATTAACATCGGTTTTATTTTTTTTATTTATCAATATAGATACTATTAGAGTAATTATCATCATTATTATAGAAATATTATATCTGCACTATTAATAATTGTAGACATTTGTAATCATAACAAATTAATATTCGTTATAGCTTCAGTTATTTGTTAAAAACGTACTATTTTAAACAGTTCTTTAACCGACCTTTATATATATATATATAAAATGTCTATAAGGTGTATAGAATTGATAAATGTTTTGAATAGTCACCCATATTTGCCAATTATTGAATAAGAAGTAATGAAATTGTAATAAAATGCAATCGAAATAGTTAACGAAATTGTTGTGTACGGCGTGCGTTCTGTACCATTTATTCACTATAGACTTAAAACCTACTATAAGTCGTCTAAATATTCATAAAAATATTATGACAATAGTGTACACTATGCACAGTGATTCAAAATTGAAAAAAAGTGGCCAAACTCAACATGGTATTATAACTTTTCAATCAATTTTTAACTCAAACATTTTTAATTCCGAGCGTTTTTATTGTGTAAAAAAAATATATAAATTTGAATTGCTATTGATATTTTATTTTCATGTTTATTTAGATGACTTATTGTAGGTTTTAAATATAGAATAGCATATTTATTAGTTTTTTTTTGTCCATGACTGCCCTACGTTTATATTGGTGACACAAAATATTATCAATGCGCAGTCCATTTGTTAATATGTTTATGGATAAAATAATTGTATTAATTATTGGAAAATATACAATATTGACAACATTAAATTTCGATATAATTTCGACATTCCTTATTATCTATGGCATAGAACTACTTTTTATCACATAATAATATGTGGTAGTGGTTAACCTAAGTTTAAAGTTTAAGTTTAGTTTAGTATTTTAGTTGTACATGTAAAATTTTCCAATACAAGCTCAAATACAGAATTTTTAATTATGTTTTCAAATTCGACACATCAAAATAAATTTAAATTATTTTTTTATCCACGTAAGAAAAATAATTGGGCATTGAAGGGTTAATTGCTAAAATTGCATAATCACATAGAATTCATAGTATTGTCTATTTTAAAAATATTATGTTTTTTTATTAATGGTTTAAAAATATTTTCAGAACTATTAAAAATGATGAATCCGGATCAAATTCTTGATTTTTACAATGCCCTTAAGGAAATGCATGCAGAATATGATGACCAAATTAATCAGCCATCAGTTATTACCACTAGGCTCAAATCTTACCAGCTTAAAGCAGTCAAATGGATGGAAGACAGAGAGAAAAATAATAACTGTAGGTCCATAAGTTTTTATTATAGTATGCAACTAGTAATAGTCCACTTAAATTATATGTAATTTAATTTATTTTTCAGTGGTGAAAAATGATCTATCGGAATTTAGAGGAGGGATTTTAGCTGACAGTATTGGACTTGGCAAGACTCTTGAAATGCTATGTTTTATTGTGGCAAACAGAGCTCCCCCAGAAGTATTTTAATTTTGCATTTCTATTTATTTATTATATTTAAGATATAAAGTGTATTTTTGATTTTTTTTTTTTATCGTCTTTTTTAGTTCCGTGCAATTTTTCCTACACCAAAAATTAAAAACTGTATAACATACTTGAACAAAAATATTTTAGACCGTGAACCAATGCATGTTACAACAAAGTTATCAACTGAAATGCAAAATCACATTAAACAGAACCAGTCTAATTGTATTACATTTGTTTATGGACAGGATAATAGTCTTAATTGTCTTAACTGCTATTGCTGGTCAACACTGGAGTATGATAATAAACTAATTGTAGTTTGTGCTTTGTGTGGTGAAGCCCAACATATGGAATGTGTTAATTTTAAACCAAAACCATTTCAAGACAACCTTTACTTATGTCCTAGTTGTTGGTATCTAAGCAACAAAATTGATTGTAAGGCTACATTGATTATCGTGCCACTACCCATTATGGATCAATGGGTTGATGAAGTAATTTCTTTTGTTTACATACCTAATATTCATTTTATTTGGTGTAATCAAATTTCAGATAGAAAAGCATGGTTTAAATGTTCTAAAAGTTCATATTTATAGAGGTGTTCATTCTGGAGAATATATTGAACCCATTGCGTTTTGTGAATACGATATTGTAATCACAACATACAGTTTTCTTGAGGATGATTTAAGTTCAATGTCGACTACTGTATGTATAATTTGAAAAATATAGAAATTTATTTTGTTGATTAAAAAAATATATAGCATTTTGAAAAAAATTTGGAAAGAACAGTGTTTAATTTTGTATTTGTATTTCAAAAAAATTGTTTCATATATTTTTTAACTACGTGACCAAACTGTCATAAATTCAAAACTGCCTAAGTACTTATTGATTGATTTTAACTTTTACTTCCAAACACGCATAGATCAGTAATTTATCATCTTGCCTTTTATTGTTGATCAAAGAAATATCATATACAACTTATCCACCAAATAAACTTAAGGGAATCTATCATTTTTTCTTTGGATCCTGATTATTGATTACATTTGTATAATGCAAGAATATTATTAAAAACATGCTTCATGTAGTTCCTGTTTTACACTCAACTTTTTTTTTGGTTTTGGTCATTAAACTATTTATAAAAAATTTAGTGTTGTATTTTTAACCATTTTTGTTGGGTCAAATAATTTCAACCACATAATACTCACCAAATAAAAACTAAAAAGAAACTCAAAAATATAAAATACCTATAATTAGTTCAAAAATCAACAGAATGTTTTACGTGTTTGTCAGGATTCCTGGTAGAAAATTTGTTTATAGACTAAAAACAAATAAATACAATAGAACCAATAAATTCCTAACAATCTATAAAACATTTAAATAGATATTTAAATACTTGTATTGATCAATAGTAGGTTGTATAATAAAAAGTCATTGTACATTTCTTTTTCTAATATTCTAATATTCATATTAAGTTATTATTATAATTTTGAAACAGTTTAAAAACATTCAAATTTGAAAAAAAGTGAGTTACCTTAGCAAAATATATTATAATTATTATATTTATGATGTCAAAATTGTTTTTAGAATAACACAATTGTAAATAATAATAACATCTACTTACTTTATAAATATATAGCTAATATCAAATTGTATTTGTTATTATAATATAGTTTCCAAATTCAATTAATCGTTTCAAACGCGTTCATAATTGTCCATTGTTTTGTTTGAATTGGTGGCGAATTTGTTTAGATTATGACATAAATCATTTAAGCAATTCAACATTTAAAACTATATTGAAATTAAATTGTGTAAATAAATGGATTATGACTGGTACACCTATTCAAAACTCATTAGATGGTAATTATGTGTTTTTTTGTCTCATATTCACTGTACATAATACTGTATTATATCTATTATAATATTATAAATAATTCTGAATTTTTTAAGGGTTTAGCTTTAATATACAAATATAGACAAGACAATTTATTTTATATTAAATAGTAAGAAACTTAATTTATTAGTATGATACACATAGTTTTTTCATTGCCTTACATAACAAAAAAAAAAAAATAATAATAATTTCATTTAAAATGTCCGTGAAAGCACAATTTATGATGAATCTTAAGTAAAATGTGCGACAATTATTTTTATTTTCATAAAACCAAAAAAGAATTGATACTGGAAATGGGTGCAGCTACTGTTGTAGGTTGAAAATTGGGAAGGTAGGATACATAGAAGTATTCAATTTATATCTGTGCAAAAATAAACCATTAGTAACGAAAAACGATTCAAAACAAAGTTTAGTAATTTTTTTAAAAATTTGATCTTGAAAAAATAACTAATGCATCAAACTCAAATTACTTTTATTATATTTTCTTTGATAAAATCTACTACTCTTGAAATTTGGACAAACATTTTGTTTAGAAAAAAAAATCTTAAAAATTTTAAATTATGAAATCGTGCCATAATTTGAAAAAAAAATCATATTTTTAATCTTTTTTGGTTTTTGGAGTCGTATACAGGAATTTTGGGTCATTGATTGTGGGTCAATCGTGGGTCTTTGATGTGTCCATAATTTTAGCCTCCCAAAGTAAATGGTCTTTAAAACTCAAACTCAAGAATTGTAGTTGTCTTTGGGATTGAAGTGATAAGTGATAAAATTTTGGGAAATTAATTTGAACATGGTGGTATTTTTTTAGCTTTGTAAACCTTTAGAGACTCCTGGCTTAAAGCTTTTTTGGGGTTATCAATTTTTAATATTTTTCCCTATTATTTTTATAATCACAGTTGTAATATTTCCTAATAAATTGGAGTATTATATTATTATTAATTATAGTATTCAGTATTCTTTGCTTTGCAAAGAATATTTCTTTTATACAAAATTGGTGGGAGGAAATTTAACTTTGCTGTTTAAAGTTGTTATTTATTTAATTTTAAATTATTGTAATAATTTTGTAATTTATTGCATTAATGTAGTTATGCTTATAATATACTAAATAAAAATAATGATTTTTGGTTATAGATCTTGAGTTACCTTTAAAGCTCTTGAATATAAAAAAATACTGTATTCGGAATGATTGTTACACCATTCCATCTCAAATAATTGATCTTCAGTGGTTATGGTTTTCATATGTAATGTGGCGTAATTCAGCAACCGATGTTAATTCTGAACTGATTCTACAAAAATCATCAATTGAATACAATTGGCTAACATTTCCTCAAATTGAAAAATATTATTATACTCTACAACAAGAATATTCAGGGGATCAGTTTTATAAATTGATTTATAAGTAATTCAACAATTTACAATATTAATTGATCAACATGTAATATTTAAGTATTTTTTGTTGTTAAATATTCTGAGTAAAAATATTCATTTTTGTTTTTCAACTTAATGTAATTTAAACAGCCTATATCTATATTTGAGATTATTAATACAATTTTATTTGTGTTAGGTTAGGTTATAATGTAATAAAACTTCTAGTACAATATAAAATCTGGAATATATTGCAATAAAATAAAAATTAATTATTTTTAAGTAAAAATTAAAATGAAATGTGTCTTATACCTCCAGTATAGAATGGGTTCTCAGAAGTGTTTTATTAAATTAAATGTATATCATCGAAGTGGTCATATTATGTAATAGAATATAGTCTATAATAGAGTGATCTAAATGAAAATATATGGTTAAAAGGACGTTATACCTGCATTTACTGGCTCAGTTCAAATACTGGGTAACATGCAAAAATAATGTTTACACAAAATAAGTAAAACAAGCATAATTTTGACTTTCGAGTAAAAGTACCTACATACTATGAAATTTATTGAGAAAAATATTTTGGAAGAAATGTTATAGGTGTTTTTTGAACTATGAACTATTAAAAAAGTTATAGTTATTTTTTTAAAAAAAAAGAAATTTTTTTGTATCTATTATATTGCTCTATATATTTTGAATACTACAGACACCCTCTGACATTCCCTCCAAAATATTGTTCTCCATAAATTTCATAATTGGTACGTTTAATTCTAAAATCAAAATTAAGCTAGTTTTAACTTATTCTACATAAGCATTGTTTATACATGTTACCTGGTAGTTGGACTGAGACAGTCCGGGTATAATTTCCTTTTAAGAATAAAAGGGATACGCATTTTGTGAAGTTAGTAATGATTTTCTGAGTGTTGGGTTTAAGTGTATAAGAGAAAAAATAGTAATTAATGGAGTGGAAACAATAATTTTAAGGTGGTTGTGTGGTGTGATCAGATTTATATCTCAATGATTTAACAATTTTAACCATACTTTATTAAGACTAGTGGATGATGCATACATATTTAGATATATTTTAGCCTAATGTTAAGACTAAAATAGTACCTATAATAATAGTTCACACAAATTCTATATTATTATATTTATTTTTATCATATGATATTTAAAGGGCAAGTCTGGAAACTGAAACCACAATAATGGAATCTGATTACATGAAATATGATATGAATATAGTTCTAACACCAATGATGACACTTCGTCAATCATGCTTACATCCAATAGTAAATTTATTTATTAAATACATTTATTAAAAGGCATTTTAAATATTATTTTTTATATTATAATAATATTTTTACACTTTTAGAATCGATATGGTGAATTTATGAAGTTAATCAAAACAATGTCCATGAAGAATATAATGAATAGATTAGTTGAAAATTCTGGCATTGATTGCAATAAAACCTTAACAGTAATTATTTCTCACCATACCAAAATTGCAGGATTATATGTTAAAAAGAAACAAATTCCCTCTGCTATTAATGAATATAAAATTATATTAGATTTAATACAAAAACACGAAAAACTAAATCTTAAAGTAGATGCTTGTCAGGTATTTGTATTTATGCTATTTTATACTTTTAGTATGTATTTTAATTAAGTTTGTATTTTTTTTTATAGAAAATGAGTACAATGTATAATTTAGATTGTCTACTCCATAAAACAAAAATACCTATTAAAGATATGTGTGGCTCAAATGGCCTTAAAAATTTGAAAATGGAAATGGAAAAATATGAAACAAACCATCTTGACATTCATAAAAACAATGTAAGTCTAGAATATATTTTACGAAATATTATGTATATAGTATACTGTATTTACTATTTAGGTACCTATTCAAAAGTTTAAGACATTGAATATAATACCATAGGAAGCTATTTTAATTATTAAGTTATCAGGATCAGCTGCCTTCTCTTTTTAATCTGTCTTGTAAATCTTAAAATGAATACAAATTTACTATAAATGTACAATAAATACAAATTAATAAATTGTTTTAAACATGTTTGATTTTTAATTTAAAAATGGTTAATACATTAACAAATGCTAAATATACATTATACAATGTTTAATAATTTTATAATAAAAATATAGAAAAAATATTTTTATTCGATTCTTAAAGTAAATAATATCTATGGAAAAGTTCTAAATCAACTAGGAAGTAATAAAAATTGATACTAATGGGCAATAGCTAATATTTAACTATTGGATGTTTTATTGACAGATTTAGAATACTAAGTATTAATTACTTTATAGTACTAAGTATTAATTATTATATGAATTATTACATATTGCAAATGAAAAATTGTTTTGACCAATGTTCACTTAAAAATGTTTGATACATTTAAATTAAAAATTATATTAATTTGTAACTACAAAATAAATTACAATTATTCATGATTTTTTAACCAAAATAAACTAACTTTTCAATATTTTGATATCACTGTAAAGATAACTTATGATGAATTTTGTAACAAATGTTGGATAATTTTGAGAATACAAAATAATTTCATCTGTTAAATAAAAACCAAAAATTAAATAATTTCAAATAACTTTAAAACCACTAGAATGTGATGCAATTTGTGTGTGTAAAAAGTATTTTAATAAATATTGGGTGAAAGATTTGGGTTATGATTATTTTAACTAAACTACAACAAAATAAGTAAATCAAAAATAAAAATTGGATATTACAGTAAAATATACATTATAGTAATAGATCCCTATCCTTTAGAATCTAAAATTTATCTTTAAAATATTTGTATTATTTTTTTTAGGTCAAAATGGTTTTTAAAATGGTTCAATTTTGTTCAGGTGAAATATCTGCACTTATAGGGAATACAAAACTTATCTATTCTGAATGGTGGCCTGAAATGTCATTTATAGTTACATTAGATGAATTTTTGGCTCAAGCAAAGCCTAAATGGGAAGAATACCGTTCAACTGGTGTAGCGGATATTGGAAACAGGTTTATAAACACACATTTATCAGTGATAGAAATGATTTTTTTTGGAAAAGATCTAATTCAAATTAAAATAAGAATAAATTATATATGTTTAATACTTTTCTTTATTTTAATAATTTCACATTAACAAAATGTATGAATTATGAAATCAAAAATATTTGATATGACCAGGGCTCGGATTTTATAGCATTAACTAATTATTATATGATACAGATAAAAATAGTAGAGTGAGCTTTACATTTATTTGTACCAAGGACTTCAAATATAAAACTTTATATTGTTATTTTTACATACTTAAAGTATTTTAGATTTTTAGTGCTATTTTTTATAAATAATAGAAATGATCTTTCACTTATGTGAATCCATTGAACAGTTTATGTTTATGACTTGTTTTTATACATTTAAAAAAAAAATGTATTTTCTTTTTAGCCATTTTTCATGTTTTTATGATATACTATAGCTTATTTTAAAAATGTCGGCATGTATTCTAGCACTTTTTTAAAGATTTTTTAGCTCATATTGTAGCGTACATTTCAGTTATTTCCATTCTTATTGTAAAACGTGCCAAATAAATTTTCTAAACAATCCTGATTTAAACAGTTGGTAACCTAACCTTTAGTTACAAATGCTTTTACATTTTAAAAAACGCTTAACAGTTTTTTCATGGTAGACATTACAATACCGCTTAAATCTAAGCTACAATAGCTTCCAAGTACAAACAAATATGCTACAAGCTAGTTCTATGATACATTAATTCCCTTTATCATTAAAAATAATTTATACTTAGCTGGGAATGGGACACAAAGTATAGGGATATGTGCATTATAGTGATAGAATAATTATAATCAAATTATAAACTCAACTAATAGATACTGTGCTAATTCAAGTTTACATGCCCACCTCAAAAGAATATGATAATGTAGAAAAAAATATAAGAAGAACTAAATGATTAAATAAAAAGAAAATCTTATAATCCTAGGAGACTTTAATGCCACAGGCGAAGGGACAGATAAAGAGAATAATATTGTCTGCAAGTATAGACTTGAAATTAGAAATCCAAGAGGATAAAACTTATTAGAGTTCTGTGTACAAAATAATCTAACACTTTCCTTATTGGTTATCAACAATTTTCCACATGACTTCACAACACACTTGTATAAATATTCACTATGGGACATTATTATATAATATGATAAATTATACAATTTAATAACAAATTCAAATTTAAAATACAAAATTAAATGATAATCAACATCTCAACAATTTAAGATTTGAAATTTCAACTACGAATAGTCAGTATTTCAATTAATAATACTAAATTGATTAAATCCACCAAAGATAAAATGGCCACTACGTTTTTGTTTACATTGAGAATGTCTTTCCTGATTTAATTTATTCTATGATTTAATCTTCCACAAACTTGACATTTGGACTTCCTTTGGACCAAAGTAGTTGAAATTATTTTAAAATTTTCCATTTGTACATATTCCTTGATTGATAAGTTTCTTTGGTCCATTAACATAATTAAAATTAACATAACTTGTTTCCTGGTTTTCTTTGATAGAATGTTTGTTAGTACAATTTAGTCAGAGTAAGTGTCTTCTAGTATAAAATCTTCAAAAAGACGATACCCGAGGTACTTCTCCAATTCAAGAATAAATACATTTTTAATAAATATGTTTAACTTTGTTAAAAATCAAAAAGAATGGCTAATTCAGGATTTTCAACAGCTTTATAAAACTCACTTCTGGTATAAAAATATGATTTTTCTGGTGTGAAATGTTTGTTTAACAATTTGATTAGCTAATTATAAAGCTTTTCTTCAATGTTGGTTGAAACACTCAGACTTGTAAGTAGGATTACAATTTTAGCACTTAATGACATGGCTTTCTTTCCAAGTTTATTTATTGTATCATCTGCTTTGAATTGATTTTTTAACTTTAGTTTGGGAGTGAAAACATTTATGCAGTGATCAAACGTGAATATATGGCCAAAATATGATGGTTTAACATTAATATTTTTAATTACATAAAATATATAATAATAGTATTTAAAATTTCGTTTTTTCTACACTCAATAAATAAAAATGTTTGAAATTCAAATTTTGTTCTTCAATGTGTAAATAAATATTAGTAATTAACATAACTGTTCTATAAAACTTGTCAGCCAAACTAATAATGTGAACATTCACAAAAAAATAAGAACTTAATTCAAGTTCCAATTAATTACATGAAAATTGAACGCCCATGTCACTTTCACAAATTTAACGGTTATCATTTTAATTTTATTGTTATTAGGTTAAAAACCTGGCCAATTTTTTGTTTAAAAATTATTTTATGAGCTTTAATATCTCTTTGATTATATTTAGTTTTAGTTCTATGATGGATATTGATGTACAATTGAAAATTTGGTGTATGAATTTACAAGGCTCAAAAGAAGATATATTAGAGACTGTGGATCTTTTAAAAAATACACCTATAGACAAATTAGCTCGAGAAGCAATGAATTGCCATTTGGGTGTACAAAGAAATTTCCATTTTCCTAAGCCAGAGTAGGTACCATACCTAATTGATGATGATTTGTTTTCTTCTCATAATTTAATTATGATTTCATATATAGATGCACTATATGCAAAGCAAAGTATACTCTTAACACATATAAAACAATATTATTTAGTTTTCCTACTAATCAAAATACTTTTGATGAACTTTTAAAATCAAAAAATAATGATGAAGAAGAATGGAAAATGTCTTTACATGCATTTTTATTAACAGGTGAGTTTTTTTAGCATACAGAATGAATTACCTCTTATAATTTAGTAATTTTCTTGACAAATTTTAAGTGAAATATATGTATATTTTTGTTGGATAATTTTGGAATCATCTAAGCAATTTAAGATTTATTTTAATATTTTTTCATTTTTTCATTCTTATTATTTGTACTTTCAAATTGACTATTTGACTATTTGTACTTTGAATGATTAAAACAGTTTGATTTTCAAATAGCAATCTACATTTTTAATGCTTTCTTGGAGGAAGAAAAATATTACCGGTTTTTCCTATAGTCAATATTCAATAATCAATATTATGTTTTAAAGCTATTGTGTTTTGAATATTTCCTCTCTAAGAGTTCTTTTTTACAGAATTTGTTAAAAATGATAAATTGATAACTTATGTCATACGAGTAATTCCTTTAGTACACATCATGATTCTACTGTTCAGCAGTAGCCAGAGGCATATTCAGGTCATCTTCCAGAGGAGGGGGCGAAAATGCGAACTTTAACCATACTTATAAATTATTAGTTATAAAAGTATATGTCTAAATGGCAGTGTTACATATTATAAATAGATTGGCAGTTAAAAATTTTCCAATCGTTTTGCTTGCTTAAAACTTGAATAATTAATTTCTACCCACTTTGATAATTATTATTAGGAATTGAAGAAAACAAAACCCCATGGAAAAAATACAGTTACTGACATCTTAAAAAAATGTTTTTATAAGTATTGAAAAGAAGCCTTGGATAAAAGCCCCATTATAAATTAATATAATGCATTTAAAAAAATTAAAATTTGTAAAAATAATTAGGTAATTTCAAAAACATGTTTTACGTATATTATTGCTTATTGCCTACTTTTGTTGGAAACCTATTTATCTTATTTTTCTAATTTATTGCTTGAAAAATGTAGAATAGTATAACATAATATACTGTAGGTATAGGTACCAAATATATGTTATATTGTTTATTTGGACTCAAGGTTTTTAAATAATAATTTTAGTATATTATTTGTATTCAATTTATCCATATCGGTTATTATAAGAATATCTGATTATAGTTTGTGTAGTAGGTAAATATTAAATAAATATTTCTTTGCTTCATCGGGGATTTTTTTCCTCGTGTAATTTTTGATCAGGAGCTTTTTTTCTTAATACCATTATTAGCCATTATATATAACCATTATTTCATACATTAATGTATTACAAATTTCAATATTTAGTATTAATCAAAACTACTGTTGACCTGCAGTGCAAAGAAAGCCTTAATAGGCTCTCCAGTAAGTAATTATAAAAAAAATCTACAAAAACAACTATTCTATCAGTATTAATAATATTTAAAAAAGTTTACATACATACCTGCTTCAATTTTATTTATACATGTATCTATAAATTATTATCTAATCATTGTCATCTGTATGGTTTTTTAGTCTATAGATTTCAAACAAAACAGCAAAAATTCCAAAAAACTAATTTGTTGAATATTATTGTGCCATCTACTCTCTCAAGGGAATCCCGCATACCTAATTTTAGTTGCCAAATATCTAAAATTGTTTAGAGCGATAAATTGTGGAATTAGGAAAATACATTATATAAAAATTATTTAAACATACATATTTGGTATCTATACATTATTAGTTATTACATAAGTATAAGTGTATTACAATTAGTACTTTTTCTGTTTCCATAGAGTAATTTTGAAATGTGCGACTGTGCAACTATGGACATAATTAAATCTACTCAAGGAAAAATAAATATGTTTTAATGGTTACACCTACATACGGTGATTATTTTTTTTTTTAATTATTTATTATTATTATGTCTGACAGCTGTGTGCACTGTACAATATACACTCAAACTGTTGATGATTAAACTATATTCAATTTTTTTTTTATACATATAATTTTGACAGTATACCTACTTGCTTTGGGGATTTACTTGCAGAGATTTTTTTCCTGGGATTCTTTAAAGTACTACCATTGTCATCTTTACAGTTTCCATTGAAGCTTATCAAATTTTTTTATGATATAGTTATCGTGACTCTATGGTATCATTCCACGAAAACAGAATGAGTTAATAACACGGAACATGATTGTAGAGTACAGACAATAATATTATAGACAATCACAATATAATATTATTATATTATAACCAACAGTAGGTATATATGTTGATTGTTGATGATAGCCAAGGTTTATAGATAATACTAATAATAGTATTATTGACTACTAGTATTAATAATATCTCTCTAATTGATAAACATTTCCGCACAAAAAAATTAACTTTTTTTTAATTGCTGAATAATAATAATAAGATAAGTAAGTACCTAAACATAAAAAAAATTCAACAATGCCCGGGAGGGGGGGGGGAGATCGCTCCCTATCACTCCTCCTTGTATACGCTCCTGTAAAAAGTTTGGGTAAAACGTTTAAATAACATTAAAATAAAACTTTAAAGTATAACAATTGAAAAAACAGATGTCAAATTCACTTAGAAGCGTCCAAGAAAATTGCTGGTTTGTGAGAAATATTGATTACTCTGTATAATTTTTATCTAATCATGTTTCATACTTCTTTTTACATATTAAAAATATTTTTTAGTATTTTCGGAATGTATTCAAGCGAATCTTAAAAACAAAAATGTATATAAAAATGCAGTTGTGTTCCTCAAGATTGTAGAGTTGTCACGCCAAGAATTCATATATATACTACAGTTTTGGTCTTGTGTTAATGATTATATTTCTACTTACTTTGAAATAAATCTAAAGGCTAAATCAGCTTCATTTGGAGATGCCAATAGTTCTGAAAATATCCCATTAATGTATGAATCAACAGAGGATGAAGAATGTGAAAAAGAAATATTTGAGACAATAGTAATTTAATGTTTGATATAAAGTTTTTTTTTTTTATTTATATATTATTTAATTTAGATAAAGTATAAAATGAAATTATTGGAATCTAAAATTGTAATCGATCAAAATGCATTGAAAAGGGACTATGCAGTATTTCGTTACCTTAGTAATTTTAAAAAAGAAGAAGAAAATTCTAATGTAAACAAATCGTGTAAAATTTGTACTCTGGAGAATGACAGCATAGTATAACATTTGCAATTACTTTAAAAAATTGAGTATTATTAAATTATGTTCTTTTTATTTTGCTTTAGTGGGCAGTATTACGATGTGGTCATAAAATATGCAAACCATGTTTGTTAACACTACTTAAGAGTTTTAATTATTCTATAATTATATGTCCAATCTGCAGAAATTATGCTTTAGCTCATACTTTATATTTCGGGAAGGTTGAAATTGAAGAGCCTGGTATCACACTGAAAGGAACTTTTTCTATTAAAATAGAAAGTATCACTTTGAAATTAATGGAATTGATTGTCCAAGATCCAACTGTTAAAGTTTTAATTTTCTCAACTGTGAGTTCATTTAATCTATTTTAAATATAATATGTACATATTTTTATTAAAAAATACAATTGATTCTAGTGGGAAAAACCATTGGAACTTTTAGGGAAAGCTTTAAAAGATAATTCTGTAAATCATAGAATACTGAAACTTGGAAATGAATATAAAAAAACACTAAAAGCATTTAAGGTTAGTAACAAAATAGTAAATCAATTAAATATTTTATTTTTTTTCATTAGTGTTAATAGGATAGGATATTTTATAAGGTTTTGGTCTTCAACTATTTAAATGATGTAGTACAGTAAAATTTTCATATACTGGTCACCGAAGGTGACATTTAAAGGTGACTGTCCTTTAGAGATGTCTTTTAAAGACATTATACTTGATGGGACCAACAAAATTACTGGTACATAAAAGTGACCATTAGCAAAGTTTTACTGTGTTACATTCCTCTACTGGTAATTCCAGAAGTGGAATAGTTGGGTTTTCATAAGATATAATAGAAAAATTATCATTACGCTATTACCAGATCTTATGTAGACTGTATTGTTATTATTATTATTTTTTTTTCTTATTTCATACCTTATAATTGCTAAAAATTAAAATCAACTCAAGTCAGGTTAAAAAAATTACTATTGCAATAAAATAGCTTATAAACCACTTAATGTTGAAGTAAAAACTTATTTAGGTATGAGAACAAAACAGTATTAATTTGTATTCAAATTAGACAATTAAATAATCATAATAATTATAGGTACCTGTTAAAAAAAACTATCACATTAAATTTGATTTTTATTTTAACCATTAAATACAACTTTCAGTACAATTTCAATTCCTTCAGATGTTTTTACATTATTTTTTTTTGAGTCCAAAGGTAGGCTATTTATTATTCTTTCTCAGGATGCAATCTATGTCAAATGTTATTAAAATCTGTTCAGTGGTTTAATTATGAAAAGGTAATAGACAGACAAAGTTACTTTCACATTTATAATGGATAATGTAGTCAATCTAATAAGTCCAACTCACTCTAATAATAAATTGATATTGCTCTATAATAAGCCATATAAAATGTTAATTTTGTTTATATTATTTACAGACTAATATGAAAATAAAAGCATTATTAATGACAATGAGTTTGGGTTCAAAAGGATTAAATTTGACTGAAGCTTCAAGAATATTTTTTATGGAACCTATTGTTGAAAATACAGATGTGCTTGAAGCTATTGGCCGAATTAATAGAATAGGACAGACAAAGTAATAATATTTTATGGTTATAAAATATTATAATTAACATACATGTTTTTATATTTTTAGACCAACCTTTGTTCATCATTTCATAATTAAAGATTCCATTGAAGAAATTATTACAAATGAATTATCTCATCTTAGGAATTTGAGTGATATAACTATTACTCAAATGCTTAATTTGTTTAAAAATTAAATTTAATGATGTGTAACACAATAAACACAATAATATTATAATGATAATAGATCTTAGACCATGCAAGATCTATATTTTATAGATCAACTAAAATCACAACTATTAATCTAAACTCACATCTAATTAAATTTAAATTATTTATGAGAATAATAAGGACGGATGAAACCAGGGATTATTTTTTCTAAATCTAAAAAGTACTATTATTATCTATTATAAGTAATAAGTATTGTAAAAATTGTTTAATTTCAAAGAAAATATTTAAATATATAGCAATCATTATTTTATCATTACAAATAATCATTAATTTACTGTTTTAACATGTATCATAATAATACATGAAATGTACCTATTACCCGTGTAGATTACTATTGCTTTTTAGGTCACACATTGTAAGATAGATGTGTAACATTGTAGTATTGAATCTAATTACTAATAGTTAGATGTACCTTCTACATACTTAATAAAAATAAATACTTATTAGTTATAAAGTAGTTAAATATTAGATAAAGGTAATTAGATTAGTTTTTAGTTTTTTTAATAAGTATCTATCATGATTAATATTATAATACTATATTATATTATATTTATATTGTAATATATTTATATATTTATATTATAATGGGACTTTATACCTATTAGCTATTACTTAATGATATAATATTGTGTATTAAAAATAAAATTATATATATATATATATATACACATATTATATTGTTATTAATCTTACAAGAGGATACTAAATATCCATTAGTTGCATTTGGTACATACATTTGCTGTCTTAAAAAATTATGAATTATTATCAAACTTAAAGGGAAGAACATTATCTATGTTTGTGCATTAAATGTTTTGATTTTTAAGTGAGATAAATGAGTATAAAAAATTTACAAATTTAAATATGCTTACATCTCAAGCAATATTCTTCTGTTAAGTTGATTAATTCGCTCTAATATTAAAATTATTAGCACACAATTGGTTCTGTTGAATGCTTATTTGCTATATAATGTGCATAGGCGAAACTAAGGTGTGCTGGAGCATTCCCAGTTCAATAGCACAAAAAATTAAAAACAATATGACTAAGTGTTCATAATTAATAGTAGGTAACCAAGGGCGTGTACAGATTTTTTTTTTCCAGGGTTTGCTAGTATATTTCAAAATAGCTCAATTTTTAACTTTTTTCAAAAAGACATAAATGTGGATTTTTTTAAATTTATTTTATACAACTTTAAAGTTCACAAAACAATAGTCAATATTATGTACTTAAGTAAACATTTAATTTTAATTTTGAATTTTTTTATTAATTAATACAAATTTAATTTATGTAATATTTTACTATAGTTCTAATATTTGGTCAAAAATATGTAAATTCTTAAACCAAACATAATTTGGAAAAAGATGTTTCACAAGAACAACTTGTGATAGGAATTGTAGTAAAAAGTTTCAATGCTTTATGTACAAAATACAAATTTTAACTTATTAATAATATTTTTAACTAGTGATGATAGTTGTTTTGTTTGATGTACTTGCAACAAAATCGGACAAAGCACATCTAAATCTTAATTTATATTCTAATTCACCAATGTAAACTACATATTGACATCAGGGTTGAATGTGTTAAATACATGCAAACTTTCGTGAAAGTAATGTTATATGAAATTCTTCAGTTTTTAGTTTTATTAAATGACCAATATGTGCACTAATGACACTTAATTTTTCCTAGTTTAATAAGTTTTCAATACCGGTATACAAATCACAAATCATATAATCCAGCGAAGAAAACATGACATTTTATTTTACTTTTTTTTCATCCATTAATGGTATGTTGTATTTTTATATGGTCAATTTTCACAAGTAGTACCTATCTCAATTCTCAATATCAAATTCATTATAAATTTTAAAACTCTGTCATAAAGTTAGTATTTTTTTTTTTTTATTAGATCAAAAATAAATACTTATAAAATACATATTATGTAAGTAAAACATTTAAATTAATTCACCCCAGAAAGTATAGCGTGTGGTGGGACAAATGAGTCACAAAATCGTAAACAAATGTAGATACTTACAACAAATACAATAATATTACATTTTCTTAATTCCATGCATTACAAATAGTTAAATTTAACATTAACATTACTATTTTCTATTAGGTACACAAAATCATTTAATAACCAAATTTACAGTACCCATGACTTTCATAGGCATTTTGTTTCATTTATAAAATTTAAAAATGATTGATTACAGAGTTTTCAATATGAATGTTCCATCTCAGATATGAATCAATAATGATACCCAGATATTTAATTCGTGTTACCCTAATTATTTTCTGACAATCACAAGTGGTATACAGTTAATATTGTCACATATATGTATAAATATATCATTTATAGGGATGAATGTGTTGTTAATAGTGAAAACAATATAATTGATTTTTTTATATTTAAGGTTAGTTTTCTATTATTTAACTCTTGAAAAAATTTATTTAGGCTTATAATAGGTTGTTTTTTTTAACAGGAGACAAGTATTATCAGCATGTGTAACCACTGAGCCACCTATATTTAAATCACAAATAGCATTAATATATAAAATAGAATAGAATTTGTCCCAAACCTTTGCCTTATAGAACACCACAAACAATTTGTTAGACAGACTGTGTCCTATGTCTCAGGTAACTAGAGAACCAACTTAAGACTTTCCCCATTTATTTCAAAACATGGCAAAATATTGATTAATATCATACGGTCTGCAGTGTCAAAATTAAGCTAGTTTTACTTATTCTGCGTAAGCATTTTTATGTATGTTACCCGGTAATTAGACTGAGACAGTAGATGTGAGTATAGTATCCTCTTAACGGTTTCCAGGTCATTAGAAATATTATGTAACCTCTCAATAAATAATTTACTATTATAAGCTAGAGAACGGTACACACAATATAATCGGCTTATCCCTAGTAATTACATACAGTCTTAAAATATTACTTTCTTTGTATATTATTTTTAATAAAGATAACTTTATTAGTTTAGTTAGAACTAGTTGTGTGCAAAATATATTGGTGAAAACTAGAATTATCTAGTGAAAATCCGTAATTTTTATTTTGATAGTTTAAACTAGTTGCGCGAGACAAACAACGAGGTACAACAGGTACAACGACTATAACGAAAAAAATGAATTGGAAAAACTGAAAACATGGAAACAAAAGCTTCAGTGGCCGAATTATTATCTATAAAAGTAGGTTTGCACGAGACGTGAGCCACGATCGTAGTCTTCAGAATCGTGGCTCACGGTTTGTGTAAACAGACAATTCGTACTTAATGATCGTGGTATTATCGTTCACGAACCTGTCACGACTAGCTCGTGCAATATCAAACCATGTTAGATATTTCAGTCGTGAAAGCTCAATCGTGGTGTACTGTTTGTCTGATTATGTATATTTTTTTATAACATTTTGACTAAAAATACTTTTAATAACTTAAATTATTTTACTCAATTGAAAGTTATCTAATTATAATACATTTATTATTTTATTATTATATCAACAACATGAGTGTAAATAAAAACATTATGAAAATGAATGACGAACAAACAATGCATTTTATAGACTATTATGAAAAAGAAGAAGTTCTATGGAACATTAAATTACAATCTTACAGAAATAGAGATGCTAGAGGCGAAGCTGTGAAAAGAATAGTATTAGGCATGAATATTGAAGGTTTGTTATTTTTATTTGATTATGTCTGTATTTACTTGATACATCTAGTTCAACTAAAAAAAATAATAATTTCATTTTTAAGGTTTTGGACTTGATCACGTTATAAGTAAATTTCTATCTGACATTCTTAAAATGTTTTTGAATCTTCCGGATTTTCATTTCGTAACTCGCGTGAAATAAACATAGAACCGCCATTACTTTTACGCTTTTAAATCCACTGTCTTACCCACCATCTCCTTTTCTTTCTAATTTTTAACTTAGATCTATCACTTTCTGTTAATCGTTGTTTCAATTGTTGAGTCAACACAACAGATAAAATAGAACATGCTTCCGCCACTAACGACTCCATCTTACTGAACTAAAATCATGTTAACGTGTAAACACCTTCGCGATTCGTAAGACGCTTTTTGAAACCACGCTCATGAGTCACAACTTACGCGATCGTGAAATACGTTCGTAGCTCACGTCTTGTGTAAACCTACCTTAAGGTATAATTAGTCGAAGTTATTATATCTTAAAGTGATTGGATGAACGACTGGTTAAAGTTATTTTAATTGATTTGATAGCCGACCAGTCGAATTTATGGAGCAATATTTATTGATCCTATGCAATTGCGTGCGTTTTAGGTAGTATCGGTTGGAATATAAGAAGCTTTTTTTATAAGAAGGTTTAAAAGATTTCTGTATTTTGTGTAGTGTTGTTTGAGCTTTAAATTAAAAGGTGCTTTAAGTTTTTATTTATATAATTTCATTTCTATTTTTAATAGAAACATGAAGACTATTAGTTATCCAGGATTTAATTTTTCTGTTTTTCTTATATTTGCTATTAAATATAATAGATACTTTAAAAGCACCAGTAATTAGATCAGCTATTATAAGATTAATTTTCTCTACCAATATGTCAACATAATTATCAACAAGAACATTATGTCAATCATAAGAGGAAATTAAAGTATTTAACAAATAAAAGATAATAATTTGTATCATGTTATTCCTATTAGATTCCTCGTTTTTATTTTTAAAATAATGTCCCTTTTTAATGAAAAGTGCTAAATTAAAATAATCCGTAATATCAATTTTAATAACATAAGAATTAGCATTCAAAATATTAATATTTTTAATAAACATATGATCAATACAATACATTGAATTACCAGAGACCCAAGTGTAACAATTAATACACGACACAAAATTAAAATATGTAAGAATATTTAAATTATTAGAGGAATCACTAGAATTTCCAAGTATACCAATATTCATATGATCACAAATAATCATCTTATTATTATAAAACAAATTAGCCAAATAAATATCTATCACTATTAAAAAATCATCAATAATAATACAAGTTGATCTATAAATTCCAATTATTTTATAAATATCCGAATCAAATTTAAAATTGATTACAATGGAAATACAAGCCGGTAAATTATTAATACTAAAATCCATGATTATTATATTATCTCTAATAAAATCTGTTACACCCTCAGCTTTATTAATAATTTCCAAGAAATGATATGAATTGTAATAATTTATATTAAAGTTTAAATCAATATTTAACCAGGTTTCAATTAAAATAATTATATAAAATGATTGTGGGTATGTATTCAAGTAAATCAAATAATTTTAGTAGAAATATTTATAACCAGTGCCTTTTTTTCAGGGGAGGAGGAGGTAGGGGTTAAAATTGGTGGCCACCCCCCCTCAAAAAAAAAAATAAAAAGTAAGTGTCATAAAATATCGCTCAACAAAAATGTTATTCCCTCCCCAAAAATTGGTTATCCATTATAGGTACATAACAGTTAACCTTTAATTCCAAAGTAAACCTATTCTGAATAGCGGACACTATTGCCATAGCTAGGGAAGAAGCACTTTAGGCACGCCCCCAGATTTATTTGGTTTTATATTGGTTATTTCGGTGTATTTTATCGTTTTCAAAAAAAGTTGGCAATGTTCAAACTATTAGCTGGGTTATATTGTTTTTGTGCTACGATCAAAAGGTCTCATCGTATAGACGCTTGCGTATATTATTCTTTTCATTAGAGGTCTCGTATATTTATATAATACCGTCATAAAATAATATTACGTCAATATCACGGCGGACATAAATAATATCAAAGAGTTTAATACGATTATTACGACAAGAGTCGGACTGGGGAAAATGTTTGCGACCTATACGATAGTATATGACTATAATTTATGTATATATATATATATTTATGTATATGTGTGTGTGTGTGGGTTAGGTAGGTATATATGTGTGAGGTAGGTATGTATATACATATGTGTGTGTGTGTGTGTGTGTGTAGATTTGTTTAAAATAAATTTAATAATCACGGCAACAGCAGGCATAGTATGTGATAAGAGTACGTGGTATAAAATAATTGTAAAAGGGGTGGGGGTTAGATCGATGAAGAGGTGGAGGGTACGGGGGTTGAGGTGTATACTCCATGGAATGAGGAGGCTTTGGAACATACCAAATCATCTTACTTATAGTTAATATTTTATTGTTTTTCCTGCTATATTGTAACGATACTATAATATGTATATTTGAGTTTTATATAATTTTATTGTAAATAAATGTGGTGAAATAATACGCATAATTGTTGTTTGATCTAAGGATTTGTACCCATCGATTAAAAAAATTAGATATTTAGATGTTTACATGAAAATTAATATTTACTGAACTTCGGCGATTCTTGCAACGTTCAAATGACCGGCTCCGATAGATTTTCAATAGGTAAAAAAGTTGTTTCGGCGGAATCGATATACGCCCGATATACCTATACAGCAGTTATTAGACGTACTAATAGAATATTATATTATTATTATTATTTTTATATAAGCATTTTAATAGTTCGAATTTCATTTTGATAAAAATATGACCATTTCAAGCGTTTCACTTAAAATAAAAAATAGAGTTACGCAAAAATGTCTGAAAAATTAGCTATGGTACGGAGTCTCCCGCGTACTCCTTCAATTCGAACACTGGTTATACGTTTAGGTTATAAATAATTGTAAGTGGCGTACGATATGGCAGTAAAAATTATTATAATATGAGCTTATATTTGAGATCACAATATTTTTCACGAGTTGAGTATCTAAGTAATTATTAATTCCTAGTTTTAATTATGGATGTTTTGTTTACAATATTATAATTAGAGTTATATAAAATACAGTATTTCATTTATGAATTAATTTGCATTATTGCAAATAAAAAGCACAATGTTGACACATGGTTATTTAGGTTTAGAGACTAGGACACTTCACCGTATTATTTCGCAGCCAACCGATTCCCCGACTCGGACAGGCCAAAATAAACATAATAATTTATCATCAGAATAAAATTTAAGACGTTTGCAGCGACTTTCACAGACCATAAGGGGTAATTTTTAACTTGTAATTTCGGGGGACGCCGCAGATCCCAGATCAGTCCAACGCTCCGGACCCACCCATTGGCTACGCCACTGGTTTGTCGCCGATTCTTCCGAAAACCGTATGTCACGACGGTCTTTGAACAAATTCTTTTATTTATCGAACGACAGAGGTGTAAAGGTAGGTATTCAACCTATTTAACCTGAATGTGGTACAAAACGCGAAAATCGTACCAAATATATTATTGTTACTTATAATACAATGTTTAGGAGCATTATAACCAATAATAGGTAGGTAGGTTAGGTTACCTACCAGCTAACTACAATGTAGGTATTTTTATTTTTTTTACGAGCGCCGCGGCGGCGTGTGTCAAGTCCCGTGCGGCCGTGCAATCGTATACCTTTGACAGCTGTTGCGGGTGTGCGGGTGTTTTTTACGTGTAGTAGAATAAAATGAAATTAATTTCAAGAAGTGTCTAAGGATGTTTTTTTTTTCTCCTCCTCCCGCTATGGCAGAAACATGACAATATACGTAGCAGGTGTATCTGCTACGACCGGAAACTGATTGAATAGCAACAATGATTTACGCGCAGCACGCATCGCAGCTGTCGTCCGAGGAACCGCCGACCGTCGTGGTTTTTAATTATCTACAATATGATAATATCTAAACGCGGTTATAAATATCGGTTACCGCGTCGGCGATTCGGCCATTCGGACATGTCCGTCAGTGCTCAGCACTCACTGGCCACAGGTTCGCCACTCACTCGTCACGGTGCTGCAGTCGTCGGCCGTCGTCCGCGATTCAGATCACTGTTTTCGCGTTACGTTCCGATGCCGGCAAAAGTGCCGGACAGCGTAGTGCAAACGGCCAGAAAATGTCGGTATATTTCGATCGGAGGTATGTACGTTGATTGTATTTCGATTATTACCGAAATCGACAAGCGGTTCGAATTTACCGTAACATTATTATTACGGTTTTCTTTAAACCGTTCGAAACCGCCGAAGAAAACACCCGATTCTATTACCTACCTGTTTTGAATTTTCAATGTCTTTTCAAGAAATCTCTGCGTTATTCAAACGTGTGCCAGCGTCGTTTACCAACGGTTACATTTTCCAACTTGTTCCTGTGTATTTTTTTTTTTTTATAATATGTAGAGTAACTGGGCGCGATATAATTTTATACGACTATACGCGACGTCTATTACAAATAAAACTATTTAAATGTCTATCGTTTCGTAACAGCATTAATTAATACTTATAGCGCCTTTTGTTAAGTTAACAGATAAGTATCGCCGCCGTTGACATCAACGTCTCAACAGTTACGCGCTTCGGATCGCGGTATTTCGTTTTGTACCGGCCGGCATGGGACAGCTAATATTATATTTTGTGATACAAGCGATCTTTGTTGAAGACTAATTTTTCGATTGGTGTACTTCTGACACAGGTAAAACAATTTTGAAATCGTTTATTAATTGTAGCGATCGTATTATCAGCGACGGATTTACAACGTTTTTAACGGTGGAGTGGGAGGATTTTAAACAATTATGATATTATGCATACAGTAAAACCTCTCTATAACGGATACTCTTATAAGATGGAATCCTTTTAACTGACCTCTAATAAACGAAAACAAACATTTTCGTAGTATAGCAAAGATTAGATGTGTACCTGTAGTACAAAGTAGAGCCAAAAACAAACCATTTTAAAACCGTAATCTCATATTTGGAAGAGTTACAAAAGTTTTTAGCTGCAATTTCAAATTCAAAGCCATTAGAAATAACATAAAAACCATGAAAATGTGCTGCCCTTGGTCACAAAAAAACTGTAAAATATTATGAACTATTTTTTAATTATTAAAAAGGTAATATACAATATCATTTTTTTTTTACCTTTTGGTATTAATTTTTTAGTATTCTATACGGTTAAATGTATGTAATATTTTTATAGGTACCTAAAATTGAATATTTTTTTCTTTATTACAGAAAACTGAGCAGAAAAGTCTTTAAAACGGAAAAGTTTGTTGGTCCTAAGTGATTTCATTATAGAAAGGTTTTACTGTATTTAAAAAGTTTTATTTTCAAAAAGAGCAGCTGTTTTTTAGACATTTTATTGAAATTATATTGGTGTCTGGAGGATCCAGGGAGTTTTAAATCCTCCCCCACTCCATAAATCCGCTACTAATAATTATTATTAATGATTATTTAGATGTGAATTTTGTAGTAAATGAATACCTAAAATAGATTTTAGCTTACTATCTTTTGTTTTGCGTAGATTTCTTAGTAATATACCTACCTATAGGTACATCCACAGTATAATATACTGTAGGAAAATTCTATTATAAATTCGAATTTATCCTTAAATTAATAATATTTAATTTTGTTAATTTCGTTTCTATTAATCTATTTTTCTAAATTTTCCGATTTTTTTAAATGCATTTTGTTTTTTTTTGAAATTTAAAATACATATCTATATACACATAAATTACAATATGATTCATTTAACATTAAGAATTCATTATTTAGTGAAGTATTAATTTTTTTCAAAAAAAAATATTAGTTTGATTATTTAAGAACTGAATACCTTGCTCGAAGTTATTACAATACCTACCATTAATTTTAAAGGTGAAACAACTAACTTTGGTACTTTTGATTTTCAAATTGCAACATTAAAAAATTCCATAATTAGATGGAGTATTTAAATTTTTGTCTAGAAATTGTTGATTTGCGTCAACTCGTTGATGAGATATTCCACTTTTAACTTTAGGTAGGGAGAGAGTAGTGGAGCAATATTTGTGGATCATTATTAATTCCTTTATGATATATTCCTATTTTATTAACTTCAAGATAAACAGTTAAATTAAATAAAGTGTGTTTTATCTATTAAATAATAAACAAATAAAATGTTTCTGTAATTTTAGCTATTATTTTAAGATTATATTTTCTAGTTTAATTAAACATTGAATATAATCAATTAATATTTATATTTACTGAATTGATTTTTGTTTCATAATTTTATATGGCTAGAGGTTTTAATGGTTTACATGGAATTATTGGATCTTTATTTAATATTAAATTTTATTTAAATAATAAAATCATATCAGATTTGAATTAGCAGCTTGAGACTGACACTTTATTGATATTGTTTGCCAATTTGTATGTATATAAATTTTGTTTATGAAATAATTAAATGTTGTCAATAAAATAGGTGGGAAGATGAGATACATTATGTTGTTTAATTTATATCTGTAGCATTGATAACAATAACTAACTAAAAAGGATTCTATTGTTTTACATGTTTTGAAAGGCCCTCGGGGCGTTCTCAGAAGGTGAGAGTCGCTCCACATGGCATTTTTTCTTCAAATTTTTGTAAATTATATCACACCAAGAAAATGCATAAAAATACATTGTAAAATTGTGTGATATTGCATATTAGACACAAATAAAAGAATTTTATCACTCTGAAATAAAACAAATTTTATCATATAGCATCGAGATAATTGTTGTATACCTTCTACTTAATACTGTTATACTATGATAATATAAATTTCATTTTTTATAATTATTTTCTTTATATCTACCTACCAATTGCTTTTTAATGCAAATGAATGACTGGTTATTGATAATAATTATTACAATATGTCTCTTTTATTGTTATAAAAGTTGTAGTTTATTAAAATAATTTAAAAATGTGAAATTTATTGAACTAAACAGAAGTTATACTTATTATGTAAAATAATTGAATAATATAATGCCCACTAGTTATTATATATAATAACTAGATTTATTAAACTAAAAACATAGGAACATATTCATCATAAACTACACATACCTATATAGACAGATAGACTGATTCATTCAACACACAACATTCATTATTTTGAATATTATTCACTTTTTTTGGAATTTTCTTTTGGGAGATTAGTTTAAATATTAAAATCTTTAATTTTTTTTAGCTATATGATATTTTTAATCTCTGTTTGTACCCTAAATAAGTATCAACTTCTAATTTTTAAATGAAAACCCCTATTTTTATTACCAGACATCTATGAAGATATTTTTTATGAATTCAAATTTAATGTATAAGGCATTTGCCTTAATATTCTAATACATTCCTTGTATATTTGAATTAATTTCCCAAAAGAAAATTCTAAATAAAGTTAATACTTTTTTGAATAATGAGTGTTGTATGTTAAATGGATATTTTACTCTGTATATTTACATTTTTTAAGTTTTTGTACATAGTTTTGTTTTTGCTTTATAATTATTTCCTTGCTTTTCTATGCTTATTAGATTAAAAACTTGGTTGAGAAATCAAATTGGGTAAACATGTTTGACTGGTTTGGTGCTTATGAATATTTATAATAATAATTAATATTATGGTACATATTAATAACATAATTAATGCTTTTGGTAAATCAAAACCCAAAGTTGATTTCATTATTTAAAATTTGCATTCAGTTAAATTATATTCAGATTCAATTAGTTTTTTTTTAATCTAAATGAGTACCTATAATTTGTAAATTGTTTTTTCTCACTTTATTACCTAATCACTTCTATTATTAGTTTATATTTAAATATGCATACAAATATTTTAGATACTGTGACCATGTTAACTCTGTTTTCCTTAAAAGCCAATATTTTAAACATTTTGATTTTAACGATTTCACTATTTGTTGAATTTATAATCATGCCTATGACATTACACTCAATTTTTTTTAAATAAATCATTAAAATGAACTTCCTGTTAAATTTTTAAGCATATCTGTTTGATCTGACAATTTTATCCACAGAGTACATACCAAATAAAAAACTATATTTGAAACTTGCAAAATTAAAATATCCATAAGTAGTTCATAAATTGTCCAAATGTTTTGAACAATGTACCACAACTAGGAAAGGCAAATATAAGGTTTTTTTCAAAATTTCAAGTTTCTACAATTTTTTTAACTGAATTATAACAACAAAAAAAAAAAAAAAAATTTGAAAATAATAAAATAATAATTTTTGTAAATTTTCCTGTTCTTTCTATATATTTTTCTTTCGATTTTGCTCAACTATTAAAAAAATTACAAATATCATCAAAACCTGATCTTATTGGTTACCAACTAAATTAAAAATGCAACAAAAATAATCTCTTGTTGTTTTTCTTTTGGTGCAATATTTATGGTACAAAATATAGTTCACAAAAATTAAAAATAATGTAATTGGCTGTAAATGGAATGTACAGTAAATATTTACAGGTTTACCTATAAGTTTGTTTCTGGTTTTTCTCAATTATTTTGAAAACACCATGGAGAATCCAAAAATAATCTCTCGAATGCTACAGATGAAATTTTTTTTTGGAAAAGGTGCTTCATACACTTAATACATTGGATGAAGATTTCTAGTTCCTCACAGAAACAAAAAAAAAAAAAAAAATTAACTGTAAAAACCAATAGATCCCTTGCTATGCTGCGAATATCAAAATGTAATAATAATAAAACATTTTTTTAAATAAAATAATTTGAAAAATAGGTTTTAATTTTAATTATATCAATATTATCTGCATTAATAATTTTATTTTGAATTATAATATTAATTAATATAAAAATAATATTCAATCACAATAAATTAGCAACATTTGAATGTTGATTTGATTCATTTAATAAATCACATATTCCATTATAAATAAACTTCTACTTAATTAAAATTATTTTCATAATTTTCGAAATTGATATTTCAATTAGAGATATTCCGGGTAGATAATTTGTTAAAAAACCGGGTATCAATTACTGGCCAAGTACAATTTTTAATACTAATCAAGTGTCAAGTATTGGCTGAGTATAAAAGTAAATACAGAATGTATTATAATATCGAATATATTGAAATATAATTTCGTTGATTCTACCAAACAGATCACTATTTCTATTGAGTGTATTTTTGTGTGTAAAATGACATTGGCACTGGGTACCTCAACATTAGAAGATACATAATTTAATTTAATAATTTAATAATTTATTCTGGTTATTAATTTGATCATTAAAAAGATCTACTGATAAACTATCTGCACTATTATTCTACATCTGCAACCAGAAATGCTTTCAATATTTTTCAGTATGAATTAAAATTTTATACTTTGAGTGAGGAATGTATTGGTTTTACAATGATATTTATTTTTTCCCTTCTTATTTTTTACCTGTAAACAACTTTTCTAATTTTTGTTACAATTTTTAAATTTAGTACCTTTTCTGAAAAGAAATTTTATCTAGATGTTAGTGGTACTTTAGGGACATCATTTTTGCAGTTTTCATAATGGAAAAAACGGAAATTAATTAAAATAATTCTTTTATTATTTTAAATTTTGGTTTTTTTTTTTGGTTTTTATTTGATAGAAATCATAAGTACTAGACAATTTATATTTGCCTTTTCTAGACATGGTATAATTTTCAAAACATTTGAGCTATTTATAGACATTTTAATTTTGCAAGCTTTTTACCTAATTTTTAATTGATACTCTGTGGACAAAATAATTAGATCAAACAGAAATGTTTGGAATTTTAACAGGAAGTTCATTTTAATTTGTATTTAGTGGTTAACAAGAAAAAAGTTGAGTTTAATAAAGTATTTTTTTACATTCTGAGTTTAGCAAAGAATGTATTGGTTTTAGAAAGATGTTTTTTTTTTAATTTAGTTTTTTTTGTGAACAATTTTTACCAGGAAGCTTACTCCAATTAATAAGTATAGCACCTTTTCTAAAAGGAAATGTTCTCTGGGCGGTATTTAAAGAGGTCATATTTTGAAATTCACATTAATATTAGATATAATAAGAAAAACCTGGTTCTTTAGGTTAAAAAAAAATTAAAGATTAAAAATAGGTTTGTTATTGGCAACGGGTTTTATTTATTTTTTGTTATTAAGTTTTTATTATTTTAATTTTTTTTCAAATAATCATTGTTGTTATGGAAATGCATATTGTTATAGTCATTTTACCATAGTATATATATTGTTGACAAAGCCACACTATCAACTGAATTCTGTTCAGAATCGTTTTTTTTACAATGGTTTATCGTTGCTTATAGATATATATATAAATTCCCCTTTGTATTCTACCTTCCCAACTTCCTACCTATTACAGTGCTGTGACCATGTATCTCCATGTATGTCTTTTTAAAAAATAATTTTAATATCAAATGATGATGAAAACAGTAAAAATTATGTTCTTTTAAAACATGTATACAAAATCTATGCTCAGAATCTGTTTTCATTAGCGATTATTTCGTACAGATATACGTTTAACTTCTCCTCTACCTTCCCAACTTCACACCTACAACAGTAACCCACACTTTGTGTTAAGTATGTCCATATTTTAATATATAAAAATTAAACTTTATTCAAATTGACACTGTCAGAATTTACTGTTTGAACAATATTTCTCATAAGTAGAGTTCAGATTTATATTCTAATGTTTGAAATATGATGTTTATATGTAGCAGAATTGATGAAATATTCCCAAAAATATTCTAAATATTCTCAAAATAATAATCAAAAAAAATCTTTGATTGTTATTGAATTATTTTTTTAGATCGTAGATAATAGATTCTATTATTATTTATTTATGTATCATGGCTTTTTGGGTGTATCAGTATAAAAATATATTTGCTCATGAGTTTTGAATAACAATTTATTACAATAAATTACTGAATCTGTAACTAAAAATAAACTAAACTAAAAATTTGATAATATTTCTATAATATAATCTATTATAGCTGAAATATGTTAAAATATTCTTTAATAAATCTTGGATGAAAAGTCCGAGGTCAAAAGATACATGGATAAAAAGTCTGAGCCCTTTTTTACATTCTACAATAATAATAATAATTTAAAATAAGTTATTGTTTGAAAAATAATCAATAAAAATATTGATTAGTGTACAATAAAAGTGATAACAATTTTTAGCTTACTATTGGAAGTAAATAAAATAGCTAGACATTATTTTCAGCACAACTTTTTTTACTCTCATTAAAAATCATATGTTTATTAAAAATATGTTTTTGCATAAAAATCGGGACTTTACTCATAGGTATTTAAAATTAGATTAATATATATTGTCTTTAAAATGTTATATTAAAGATTGCAACTATTTATATATGTATTTTTTTATTTAGTTTAGATATGTAAAGTGTAACTACAGGATTACAATACACTGATTCTATATAAATGTTATTTGGTAAAAATTAGTAAAAATACTAACAACAACTGAGTTTGAATGAAGTAAGTTTTCATTTAAAACAATCATGTTAATTTATACCTTTTTATTAAAATCTAAATCTATTTTTTTAAGTTTCATTTAGGGCTCCTTAAATTTATCTACAAAACTCTGCCTGCATAACTACAATAATTAAACATTAAACAATTGATCATTGATCATGTAATGAAGATTAAAATTGAAGAGATTATATTGGAAAAGAAAAATCAATAATAATTGAATTAAATACATTTAAATGCAGAATATTATAAAGAAATTATACACATTTGTGATTGGTATGTACTCTATATATATTTTTTTATTTTCTTACTTATGTAATTATAATATTTATTAGGGAAACTTACAGTTTTAGAAAATACACTTTTTACTTATAAATTGCGCACAACTAGTATCACATGTTTCCATTTGTCATTTATTGGATAATCATTGCTCAACCTCAACTCAAGTCTGAGGGTAGAGAATAGCACTGCTAGGTGTACCTCACAAAAACATAGAGTATTGATGAACGCAATTATTAATATTATTACTATATCTTTAGTAACAACTATGAAATTATCAACAATTTGGATTATAGTTTCAATACTTACAGTATTAATGTAGTTTCAACATTGGCATTTGTAGTGTAAGAAAACATCCAAGTATACCATTGAAATTTTGATATTCAGTGCATACTGATATCCACTGCTGCTATTTATTCAAAATCAGTACCAAGCAAACCACACTTGACACTTGAATGTGGTAAATTTTCTGATTAAAACCATAGAAACCCTCAATTCATGAATTTGATCTAATACTACTTTTTCAGGTGAGACATAAAAGTATCTTCAAAACTCTGTCTACATAACTACTGTTGCACATTTCAATATAGAATACTCAGGACCTATAACTCTTTAGTTGGTATGTATTAAACATATTTAACATTTTGATTGTAATATTTTTAATGAGAACTTACAATTTTAGAAAATACACTATTCACTTATATATTGCGCACAACTAGTGTAGCATGTCTTCACTTGCCATTCATGGGCCAGTCATTACCCAACTTTTTGTGCAGTCTGCAGGCTGTGAATGATACTGCTTGGTGAACCTGCCGTGAGATCTTGACAATTGCAATAACAAAGACCTTTACTATTACTTTATATACAACTAAAGCTTTTCATCAGCTACAACTATTACTACATCTATAACTTTAACTATTACTACATATATGATTACAACTTATTACTTTCCACTACCTAGACTATAGTTTCAACTACAATATCATTATAGTTCCCACATTGGAATTTTGGAGTATAAAATTGTACAATATAACCATTAAAATATTGATACTTGGTGCATATAAGTACCCAAGTAAACACAATTGATGTACCATTGGGTATGTCTTATAAGGATACAATTATAAAACCATACAGCTTTTGAATTATATATAAATCTTGTATTTTAGATAATGCCCATTAAATATATCTATAAAACACCGCCTACTTAACTCTAGTTACACATTTGAGTTTCAATTGATTTAATTGAGATTAATAAGTAAGAGTGTACATTGTGTAGAAGTCTTGTTCCATATAATTGTACAAAAATGTTTATGGAGAAAACTGAGGATTCATAAGGGATTGGCCAGCTTTTAATATGGTATTATTCCCACTTCACACATATATTTTGAATTTTTGTCATTTTTATTGAGATATTTTCATTATAGAAACATATGGAGAGTTATATAATACACAATTTACTTATATACTGCGCACAACTAATATAGCATGTTTTTAATTGTTGTTATTCATGCACAATGCTCCTTTTGGAGTATAAAATAACACTAGAAAATGCTATTTATTCAAAATCAGTACCAAGCAAACCACACTTGACACTTGAATGTGGTAAATTTTCTGATTAAAACCATAGAAACCCTCAATTCATGAATTTGATCTAATACTACTTTTTCAGGTGAGACATAAAAGTATCTTCAAAACTCTGTCTACATAACTACTGTTGCACATTTCAATATAGAATACTCAGGACCTATAACTCTTTAGTAAGTATGTATTAAACATATTTAACATTTTGATTGTAATATTTTTAATGAGAACTTACAATTTTAGAAAATACACTATTCACTTATATATTGCGCACAACTAGTGTAGCATGTCTTCATTTGCCATTCATGGGCCAGTCATCACCCAACATTTTGTGCTTTCTGCAGTACCA